GAAAATTACGGGCAGCCCCTGCCAAATTACGAGCATAATTGCTCCAGGCATGCCCGTAAACGCAATGCCGAGCCTAATTCCCCAGAATGCCTGTCGCAGAGAAAATTACGGGCAAGAGTCACCTTAATTACGACTGTAATTCAGTAACTACTGGCAGTAATCTGGAAATTACGGTCGTAATTCCCCTCCTCATAACTTAACTAAAACGCGCGTTTTGGGCGTTTTACGGGTAGACCATGATTACGACCGTAATTCAGCCCGTAATTCGCCCAGAATCGGGTTTTTGAGGCAGATTCAAGCCAAAGGAGAGGGAGTCGACTTTTTGGAGCAAAAACAGAGCCCTAGAGAGAGAAAGTGCGAAGAACACATCCTATAAGCGATCTTGGAGCTGGGTTTCATCAAATCGAGCTTGGAGATCATCATAGGAGTGATAATCATCATCCCAGAGCAGATTCTTCCCATTGTTATGAGTATGACTGCTTTGTATTCTGTTTCCTTCTCTCTCTCTATGGAGTAGAACTCTCTCTCACTTGGGTATGAAGAACCCTAGTTCCATGTGTTAGGAATCTTGATTGTAATTATGTTTGGATTGTGATATTGCTTGATTATAATCAATTGAAGTGTTTTGAATGAGTCAATTGAAGTCTGCTCACCTTTTATTGATTTCTGCTGCAACCTGAGATAGATAGAATCTGATTAGGTTGTTAGAGCTTCTTCGATTGGTAGTAGTGAATCGATTATACGAGAGTTAGTCGATTCACTTCTTTGTACTAGAATCTAATTCCAGTAGTGGAGTTCTATGTTCATAGCCTCAGCTTTCTATCCCGATGAAGACTAGTCATCTGCCGGGTAGTTGGACTGAGAGGGCTTGGTCAGCTTAAGAGATTTCAAGCTACTGTCGGATCTTCCGCGGTATAATCAGCAGTAAAGCAACCCAAAGTAATTAAAACTGGAACCTAACTAAGGAGCTAGGGGGACTCATTCCAGAGTGACTCTTCCTTTGCTTTAGAAAACCGAACCATTTCCTGCTTTCTTACTGCTTTTACTTAAATCAACAATCACTTGACTTAGTTGGCTAGATAATAGATATTCACGGAGTAGGCAGTAGATCTAGACCCCCGGGTTGACATTAGAACTTGCGTGTTACTGAATTTCCGAACCGCGATTACACTTGGTCGCAGTTTGGTGTTGTGTTTTAGCATGTCAGATCTACCACACCCAAGAGAAAAGAGTGAGTTTCTAGAGAGAGAAAAGAGGGATTACAAATTTGAGCTCAAGATCTTCTTCTTCTTTTAGGCTTGAATCCTTGTCTTTAAGATCCGCCCAAGCCTCCAATGATGCTCTAAGATCACTCTAGCACTCTCTCTATCTCTCACTAGAACTCCCCTTTGGTTTTTTGGGCAAACCCTAGAGAGGGAATTAAATTTCTCTCCAAAAACCAGCTCCCCCTTCTCTCTCCCCGCTGTTGTCTTCATATTTGCCCGAAAGTGACCAGTTCACGAACGCGTTGGCCAGTTCACGGTCATGAACACCTAAACGCGTCTGTGAACTCAGTGTCGTCTCCAAAACGCACCGCTTCGCTTCTGTTTTTCATGTTCATTGGCCCTAGTTCACGGTCTTAGCGACCGTGAACTCCCTTAGCGTCAGTAACCTCCGAAACCTCGTTGGACTGCTCGATGTTCATGGTTTGTGGCTCTAGTTCACGATCTTAGGAGACTGTGAACTCCCTTGTTTGACCATGAACTGTGGCTGCTTCCTGGACGCCTGCACTTCACTGTTACGGGGCTTCAGACTTTTCTTCGATTTTTCCTCTTTTTGACCTCCATTTATCCAAAAATTAGACCTCGATCCTTCCACACGTGCTAGGACCTGAAATGTATCAAAACAAGCACAACCTAACGTGAAATTTGTCGAGGAACAATGAAATACTAAGCTAAACGAATAAGAAATGAGTGGTAAAATGTGTACATTTGGGCTCGAATCAACGGGTGACCATATGAGTACTAGAAGCAATAAGTGGAGTAATAAGTGTCCCTTTTGCGACTTGCTGAAGACTCAAATCCAATTTTTCATGAATGCAGTTGGACAGCTCGTATTTGGCGGGCTTCTCCACTTGACAGTTGCTTTTCTGCCCGGGGGACGAACGATAGCTTCGGATGGATTAATGAAGTGATGTCTTAGGTGGAGGATGAAGAGTTGGAAGAGTGGTGTTCCTTGACGTGGGCACTTTGGCGCGAACGCAATGCCCAATTGTTTAACGGTAACAAGGCCCTGGAGGATGAAATAGCAGTTCGAGCACACCTTTTATTAGAGGAGTACAAGCGACACCGGGTACGTTTTGAGGCCCCTTCGATGGGCTTAAATGGGATGCAGAAGAAGAGATGGACTCGCCCCAATAGGGGTTGTACATCGGTAGCGACAGACGCTGGAACTTTGATGAATTAGGGGGGACCTTGGAGTGGTTATTCGGAACGATGAGGGAAGATTTATTCTTGCAGCTGCGAAGTGTGTACAAGGTAACTAGAGTGTGGACATGGCGGAGGCCCTTGCCGCGTAGCTTGGGGCACAATTGGCTTGACAAATGAATTACCCAAAGCCGATACTTGAATCGAATTGTCATACTATGGTGCATAACCTCCGAGTGGCGGATGGCATATTCACGGAAATGGGCATAGTGTGTCGGAATGTGAGACGACTCTTGGATCGGATGGACGGAGGAAGCTGGAGATTCATTTACAGCGAAGCTAATGAATTTGCGCATGTGATGGTGCATGCAACAACGAACTGGAATGAGTGTGTTGTTTGGATCGAAAGAACGCCTGTTTATCTGGTTGATCAATTGTTACTTGACAATGTAGTTGAGTTCGCTGGTTAATAAAAGTTCTAGCAGATTTCCATAAAAAAAAAACGAGATTCTATGCTCTTCTTCATATTTGTAAACTTCCTACCTCCTCATATACTAAATTTTTATTTGTTAGGATTCATGCACCCTAGAATGATAGATTGAGAATTTACAATTCGACTTGTGAATGATGTTTTTACTATCTATTTATGGTTTTACGGTTTGATTCTCAATTCCTTATAACGTTTGAGATTATGTGTTCTTAGCTTAGAGAGAAGAAGTCTTTTATGCTAAGGTTAGCACACACCAATTAGTAGAAACATAGAAATTTTTTTTGAGAGAAGTAGAAACATAGAATTGATTGCATGAGAATGAGTTACTTCTACTTTGTGTTCTAAGGTGTCATAGAACAGATATTCAAATATAATTTATGGTTTAAACCCCATTGATTGAAGCAATTCCTCATATCAGCTCTGAGGACCGCCGATGGTGCTCGGCATCTCTAGAGATTACTTACAATCCAGTGAAGATTGACCTAATCAAAGTTGATTTTATCATTTCCAGGCTCTCGTCCACATCATCATCCAAAAACTCAACTTGCTAATCCAGGTCCATATAGTTCATGATGAGCGAAAGCTTAGTTGGAACATGGAACAAAGAGGAAGAAGACCAAACACAATTATCATGAGAGAAAACATGAACACTACTCCTCTATTCACAGGAGGTAGAAAACGCAGGGACAATGAAACAAATAGGGAAAATGTGATTTTCTATAAGTATTTCTGTGTTCACAAGTTTTTCTACAGTTCTAGGGTGGTGATTTTGGTGGAAAAGGCATTGTACCAGGAGCCCCCTCAATTTGGGGTGAAACCCAACCTTGTTCCTTCGTCTCTCCCTATCTTGCCCCTCCCCCGAGGAAGAAGAGTAATGATGGTTTTAGTTCCACCTATTTTTGTTTGCCAAGTGTCATTGCAAATCTTTAGTTATCATTGGTAAACAATAAAAACTCGGAAATGGTGTAAATAAACAAGAACCCAACTGTGAGAGTTTGAGGGTTTCGATCTTCCTTTGGCAATTGGCATAGCTCAGTGCTTTTCTACATATAATGACCCTCAATTAAATGATTTAATGGGAGCTGGGAATGTGTCAATTAGTTAAGTTGCAGATCAGTTCTTTGGACTTTTACCAGAATGTGTCCTATCGAATCATGAACTATTGACTATACGAATAGAATCCAAATAGGATGTTATAAGAATACTAAGAATCCATCAAAAGGTCCAGAAAAATAATGGGTAGTGTCTATTTTTTATTCAAATCTTTTCGGATTCTTTTTGATTAGCTAAATTTATCAAAATATTAAGAATTAGCCAAATGTTAAGTTTCAGTTAGCAATTTTGTTAGTAATATTGACTAGGCAACATGATACTAACTTGGAAGAGATAAATGAAAGTCAACATTCCAAAATATTAGTATTTTAACTAAGAAAAGAGTTACAAAGTTATTAATAATAACCTAAAAATGACTAATATTTTGATGCATTACGAAAGATATGACTAATTAATAGCATTTTAATAGGTTTGGATAATATAAAAGAATCTGAAAAAGATTTAGATAAAAAATAGATATTATCCAAAAATAATCAATAAATTAATAAAAAAAAAATAAAAACATTAAATGGATTAATTTATTTCACGATAACACTACAATAAAAAACATCATTGACAATCCATAAAAACTGTCATGTAGCAAGGGTTTTGAGAAACCCACGGTGGAAGTACCATCCAGGGGTTTTAGCAGGGGTTAAAACCGCAGCTACTCATAGCAAGGGATAGAACCCCTGCTACATGACAGTTTAAAATCCAACAAGAAAATGTTCCTACCAAGGGTTCTAACCCCTGCTACATGCGTTGTTAAATTTGTTGCGGCCAGACCCCTTGCTAGTGAATGTTACAGCTTCATTTGAATTACATTTATTCCAAGGGTTTAAACCCCTGCTTAATTGGTGGCTAATATAAAAAAAAATTGTGACGAAATCAGACCGTCCCTAAAGAGAATGCAACGCTGTCACTAAAAAATAAATTCAACGCTGTCACTAAATAGGACCACCAAAACTGGTGGTTATAACTTGGTTGCAAATACTATAGTCACTACAAACAAACTCAGAACCTAATATACAATAGTGACCAAATTCATACCGTCTTCACTAATCCGTACCATACATACCATACAAAACCGTCAATATTCCATAATCCGTACCATGATTCATCATTTACCTCAAACATTCCATGTACCATAATATAATCCCTACTAACATCATTGACAATCCATAAAAACATAACATTCTACTAGAATATTACTCAAAAGAACCTACATGATAAACTCATGATTCAACATCCTTCATCTAAGAGCATCACGGCATCAAGAAGCTCGAGAACCCAAAGATGGGGCAGTACTTGCACCCTGTAGAAAAGGAAAAGAATTATCAACATTTACCTCTAACAAAATTGCTATAAGAGATTAAGAAACTGAAGTTGCAAAAAAGCAGAGGCAACACTTGGAAAATTATACCAACAAGCTAGCACAACTATTATTATTAAAAAGCAGAGACAACCGAGGCTAGCAAAACATAAAAGCTCTCATCTCTGCCTACATGCAGCAGCTAGTTGTAGAAAGAACAATTCACAACAAAAGGCAGCATTATTGAACAGATTCCACCCCTCGCCAAACTGAAGTGAAAGAAATAACTGAACAGATTCATCCCTTCACCAAACACAAAACTTTTTACTGGTTTCAGCAGTGGTGTTTGAGATGCCTAACCACAACCCACAATTCATTCATTGATTCATCGATATCAGTCGGTTTAGAGACTCAAATTGCACTGTAGAGACTCAAATTCTCTATGATACTATGGGATTCTCTTCACCCATTTCTCTTTTACTACCCCATTACTAAACTACCTCAAACAAGAGAAAAGGAGGGGAGAGAAATTACCGGATTGTTTTCAGCATCTTCCATCCAATTTTGCCCAGGAATTACTGATGAACCTTGCCATGACCTCCATTTTTTTCTTCACCTCACTTAACTCTCCTTTCAAAGTTGGTACATCTTCACTCGAATGACTACATGAACATGAGCATGATCCAGATGCAGCACCACGCGAGTAAACTCCAAAATATGCGCTCTGTGTTGGCCCTAACCCCATGCATCGAAGCCTCCCAGGATGCTCTGGACCTGCTAGCTTCTTGAAAACCTCCTCACTAGATCCCTCCATTTCATTTGCTTTATCCTGCACCAAATCACAAGTTAGATAAATACCAAACACCACCGGCAGCACTACTAATGTACTAAAGCAAACTATGTCTCTCATTTCACATATGGGTATTCACATATGAGTAGGAGCTACCGTAGGAATTACCATGAACTCCTTAGCATGATCATTGATGTATGTCCCATCCTTTCTCTTATGGTTAGCTTCGAAAACTTCAAGCCTAGTAGGAGTTCTGCCTAATTTTTCCTTCTACAATCATTGTAACATATTAGAATTTAGATTAGAACAAAATCTGATCATATTATTTATAAGAATGTACATAAAGCAAAACAGAAACAAATAAAGTTTTACCAGTCGCTTTCTCGTCCTTGCAATGCTCCTCCTTCCTCCTGCGTGAAAAACATTCTTCTTCTTTGCATTAGCACGGTTTACTGCACTTCTTTTCTGCACAAATAAGATTTTTACTATTATATATCTGCTCTAACTCTGAACTGGCAACATCACTGAACTGGCAACATCACTAGCAAAAGGACAAGACCTAGGAATAAAAGAAGAACAACCCTACAGAAAAATTGCAGCAGCAGAATATAGGAATAAAAGAAGAACAACCCTGCAGAAAAATTGCAGCAGCAAAATACTAGAACAAATGCACCAGAACTGGTACTTTTAGTCACCCCAATTCATGGAAGCATACACAAACAGTAGGGGTTCGAATTTCAACAGAATGAAGTTGAAATTAATGAGCCAATCATCATCATTATCAGGACATAGGGTTTACCTTGTTTTCCTCGGAAAACCAGCTAGCTACCAAGGTGTACCACTGATTTGCATCTGTAACACCTTCTGGAAGTCCCTCTTCCATAATACTTTCCACCGTTTTCCCAACATCAAAGTGTTTGCTCTTTAAATCATACTTGAAGTCGACCCATTTCTTGTCAACAAGTTGCAAAATCCACCTTTCTAAACATACAGGGTAGCGGAACTTTGACTACACAAAGAAAGACCAAGAAATATAAGTATATAGTGAATAAACCAAAGGAAAGAACAGTGGTATTAAACTGTGGGTACAGCAGTGGTTTTACCTTGGTAAGGCTTAGTATATGTCTTTTAAATGGTTTGAACTCCTTTCTTTTCCAATTCTCAATCGACAGTGGAGTCAAGGTGTTGTTTTTCGCAATTGTCCCAAGAAAGGATGACAGCAAGCATGACTCTTCACCACAAGGAACTCCAAATTCGTCAACCTCCACATCGATCCTTTCACTTGCGTCCATATTCCAGATATCTTGCACTCTTGTCTTCCCTCGTTTATTACCGTTTGCAACATTTTCTCCTAGCATCAAATATATTTGTAAGTAATTTTCCAAACATTTATATTAGATAATATGACTAAAATACCAGGAATATACCAATGTTATCAGCAGATCCTTCTTCACGTTGGGAGAATGAGTGTCCTTGCTGAATACTTTCTTGAATGTTAGATTCAGTAATGATTCTCACATTTCTCAAATTTCTTGAACTCAAAACCATCTGTAGTACACGATAAATATGGTACTCATAAGCAAACGATAAAAAAATCAAACTTAACAAAAGAAAAAAAACACAATCACTGAATTATCACATAGTTGTTTGCATCATTAGTGTTTTTGAACGTGTAGCGCCATGAATCAGCATCTTTTGTCGAATTCCAATACAAACTGCAATCGTTCGGACATGCTTCAATTTTTACATAATCCAACCCCAACTTCTGAACAACATTCTTAGCTGCATAATGAGTTTTGGGTAAGGAAATACCTTCCGGAAATGCTTGCAGTAACAACTGAAGTAACATGGTGAAAGATTTTGCAGTCCATCCATTATGAACATTCATGTGATATAAATGCACTAGAAATGATAGCTTTGAGAATGTATTGCACCCCGGATAAAGCTCTTCATCTGCACCTTTTATCAAATTCTCTATTTCACGAGTATTCTGTAATGGATCATCTGTCACTTCATCGCGATCATCATTTTCTCCCTCACTGTCCTTCAAGAAGTTTTCATCCTGCTCACAAGGTACTTCATCGTTCACTAGATCTTCACGGCGAAAGACATCACGAAGCAACCCCATCAAATCTGCTCTCATTGGTGGGTTTGATTGAATAGGAATAGATACTCTCTCCATACCCATAGTTGAAACATTTGTCCTTGAGGAAGAAGAAGTGGCAACATCACTAGCTTGGAAAGTTTCTCCATGAAAACCCCACATTGTATACCCTCTTAGAATACCATCACAAATGAGATGTACCCGAATATCATCATATGTTTGTGCATAAACATTTGCACACTTGACACAGGGACACAACACCTTTGATACATGTGAAACATTTCGAAATGCATAATCCAGAAAAAGTTGCACTCCGTCTTTATATTCAACACTTGTTCTAAGCTTTTTCATCCAACTCTTGTCCATTCTGAAAAAGGAACTCACAGCTGCAAAAAATGGAAACCGAACCATTGTTATTAGTGGAAAAACAACTTGGAATTTCATTGACATGTTATATAAACAGGTGATGATGGCAACTATGCATATACCTATTACTCCTACCGCTTAGGGAAAGTTCCTAGTACAACTAAACTTAGCCTCTTGAAAATTTATGAGCTAAAAGAAAATGTTGCACAGACTCCTAGTACTTCCGTTGTTCTGTGCTGCATGTATTGTTCATCAATATCTATATTGAACTTGTGGCTTCTCTTTCCTTTGTCCAAAAGATAGAATCGATCAACAAGAAAAAGTAATCATTGATTTTACTCCCTAGCAATCAGCTGATCTCTTTTTTTTAAAAAAAATTGCAGTGGTTATGTATCTGAAGTCCGAGAGGAAGACATCAACAAGTGTTGGCCATTTGATTCATCAGTTGAAACCAATACTACCGATATAGATAATTGTGAGGGTGATCATCAAGTGCTTCCTCCTTTAGATGAACGGCTATATAGATACTGGCGTTGTGAGAACTGCTCTCAGAAAATTGGGTCTGCTCAGAACATACAACATTCTGCCGTTCTTCTTAAGCATTCTAGCGCAGGGAAAAGAACTACCAGTTCTCACATACAGACAGCAGTAGTTGCTGCTCCAATGCTAATGTTGACAGAGACACCCACGAATTAAACGAATTCAAACTTGCCAAAAACCCAAAAGCCAGAACAGTACTGAAACTTACCTCCGCAACAGAAACAACAGTAGCAACACGAGAGGACGAAGAAGATCTCTCTGCACACAAAAGTAGCTTGTTTCCCCTGTTTCAACTACTCAATCTGAACTTCCACGGGACTTCACCCAAAGCACATGAAGGTGGATTCGAAATCGGAATCGAACTTCACTTGGACCCAATTGCCGGAGAACAGGATGAATGAGAAGGACCCAATACGTAAAGTGAATTGGAGCTGAAGTGGGCTGATTCGGATTATGATGAACTCGAATCAAAGAGAAGAAAGTGGAAAACAGAGTGGAGTGGCGGTGGGCAGATCCCAGCGACAACGCCGAGCTGGGAGTCGGACTCAAAGAAAAGAACGGCAGTGGGTAGATCCTTGGATTTTTTTATTTTTTGTTTTTTGGAAAGGAATTTTTCTATCGTGAAAGAATGGGGATTGGTATTGAAAGAGAGTTGCACTATAGCAGGGGTTCCAAAACCCTCGGTATAGCTCCAATTTTTTGTAGTGTGTACTTCTCTAAAAATATTGCTTCTCTGGCATTTAAAAGAACTTCAAAACCTTAAAGAGTTTCGTAGGAAAATATCCCTTGGTCAGTTTGTAACCTCAACAATTTAACCTTTTCATAAACAAAAATAAAACAAATGGTCATGGTCTCATCTCATGGACCTAAAGAAAACAGACAATTGGACAAATGCATGCACCGCCAAACCAAGGAACGATCAGAAGATAGGTACCCGCTGCAATGCGTATGCGTTACATCTCGTTTCCTTTCCGGGCCCTTCACGTTCACGGCATTGCACTAATAATAATGATCCATCAAATGGGCTCCTCATTTGGGCTATGCTATTGGGTTATGGACCCAATTTGTTAGCTAATATTCACTCGGAATTTTAGCTTCTATATAACAATGATAGAGTGGCCGGCCATTTGTCCGGAGAAAGGTGAGGTATGAAATTTGATAATGTAATGAGCTGTATAGTTTATTGTTGTATAGTTTTTTTTTTTTTGGAAACACGTGATAAAAAATAGTGAATTTTAGTAGGAAAGAGACATGAATGATGCAACGAATCAAAAATCAGCCTTATGAACCAAAATAAAGTACCTGTTACCTTGTGAAACAATATTGTTTCTAGTAATATGATGAGGTGGAGTAAGTTTTATAGAAACCGAATTCCAGAAAATCGAATAAAAATCGCCTATCCCGCCGGTTTTCGGGAAATGAGCATCTCACAATCGTTGCTAGCTTTTACTCGGCCCGTTGGCCGATTAATTTGCTTTACAAAAATTTCATCTTGTCATCATTGTGCTTTCTGGTTTTTTGCCAGGCCATGATAAAATCTAAAGAAATCAAGAATGAACAACACGATTTGGGATAGGAACCACCGTTCCTGTATCCCTAGAAAATGGTGGTAAACACGGACTCACCTGCCAAACTGGTTTGGATTGAGATTTTTATCGGGTATCAGGGAACCATGTGATTATAAATTAGACTTGATCAAAACGAGCCAAAACTTGAAATTCAGCCTGTTTGACCAACCCATGCCAAACTCTAGTTATTCTTTACTTTTAAACTTTCTATTAGAAAATAAAAAATAATGAAAGAAAAGAGATGACTGCAATTTGCCATTTGCACATCACTGATTCGGGAATAAAACTATAAAATTTCAAAAGGAAACTGAAAATGATTAGGATCGTTTTAATGTTAAAAATAACCAAATATATCTTTCTCATTAGTTTTTTTTACTAACAAATACCAAACGATTCCCTATAATATACACTATAATTTAATCATTATGATATCAAATAAATACATAATATATATTTGAAATGATAAAATTGGACTAATTGGGTTGGTCGAGGTTGAACCATTGAATAACTTTAAAATACATTATATTTTAGCCACTAAGATATAAAATAATAGCATAATATATATTATGCTAGAGAAAATAGCTTGTTTAGAATGGCAAACCCATGATGTTCATTTGTTTTACTTGATGGGCAAATCACGTGTAGGTCAGGCCCATTTAACTTTTTTATTTTATGATTAGCGGTTAGCCCATTAGAATTCATGCATTAGTTTATTGTTATTTTTTTTTCTTTTTAGCAATAAAAAGGAGTATTGTCTTTGGCTTTTCATATTATTTTACCACCACGGAGAAATAAAAGAACTTAAAAAATATTGACACTCCTGGACCCGTTTAAATCCGCATGCGTACGGTAAGTTGACCCGTTCCACAGAGGAAAAAGAAAAAAAATTGACACTCCCTATTCTACCCTTCCTACAAACGCTCCTGGAGCATGGAATTTGAAATGGGGGAAGGGTTTTTTCCTCTCTGCGATTATATATTTTTAATTTAAAAAAATACAACAAATGTACTTAGTGTGATTGGTTATGATCTTTGCTTTTATTTAAAGTGGTCATGGTTCAAATCCTAGTAAGTGTCTTTTTAATGAATAAAAAAAAGTAATTGTGAAGACCAATATGTACTTCCTACTTTCACTCTGGATGATAAAAATTGGACTAATTGGGTTGGTCGAGGTTGAACCATTGAATAATTTTAAAAAACGTTATGTTTTAGCCACTAAGATATAAAATAATAGCATAATATATATTATGCTAGAGAAAATAGCTTGTTTTAGACTGGCAAACCCATGATATTCATTTGTTTTACTTGATGGGCAAATCCCGTGTACGTCAGGCTCATTCAACTCT